GTTCAAATGTGATTGCGGCTTCGAATGCGAAGACCGTGTTCATGTCGTCGCGGAATGTTCGTTGGAGAGGTGTACAAACATAAGAGTACGCCCAAGTCGTTTCATATATTCTGGGCGTCGGTCAAAATCAGGTGTACAAGAAGGAGAGGGAAGTGTGCGTGAATGAGCTGGGAAAAGTAGATAGGACGTACAGGGAGATGTTTGAGGCATGGAATAGAGAGGAAAGGTCGGTAGCTGTACTGGGGCATAGGAGGTGGGTTGAAAAGGCGGAAAGGGATACCGCTAGGATAGACAGAATAGGGAAGACAGCTTTGAGCCACCTTTGGAAAAGTAGAAAGGAACGATTGGCCATTGGCGATCGGTCTTGTGGGAACAATGCTCCGTCCTCTCGAGGACGCGTGGTCAATGGTCTAACCGCCAAGGCATGCAAAACATAAGAGTACGCCCAAGTCGTTTCACCTATTCTGGGCGTCGGTCAATATCTTTCGAACTACTATACATTTGAAAAAGCCAGCCGGGGTCACACACAGGAGGAATTCTCCAGCGTTCCTCCCGCGGTGTTCAACGCACCAAGGGCACAAGTATGGACCATGTAACTACTCAGAGGATAAGCTTCAGTTCGGTTCCGAATTTTCCGTATCTCCTCTGCCGAACATTCCAACGGAAGAGTAATGCGGCAAGACGCTACCCACCTGAGGCTCGGGCTGGCGTCCCTTTCCCCCCTGGTCGGCGTGCTCTTCCCGGACCCTCTTGGCGGTCTCCTTGAGCTCCTCGTGCGCCCACTGAGGCAGCCTGCGCTTGTTCTTCTTCTTCTTGTCCTTGCCCTCTGCTTGGCGGCCAGAACATCAGTGTCGTTCCCACGAGCAGTGCAGCAGTTATCAACATGCACGTATGTGAGAAGGCCATTACTAGTCAACAGTGAACAATCGGTGGTGGGGTACGACAGGAATTCCTTCAGAGGACAGAAATTCACTTGACCCTCTCTGATTGAATGTCTGCACCTGCTCCTTTGCCTCAAGTATACCATGAAGCAGACACAATAAGGGGATGGCACGCCACATGTGTGGGCATTGCTGTTGCTGCGCTCCTTGTCTCTGCCTTCATGCATCCTCCCTCTCAACGTACGCAAAAAGCAGCACAGCACGACCTACAGCAGTTCACAAGACCAAGTCTACAGCAGTTTGTTACATACGAGACAGTCAACAGCAGGCAGTTGTTGTAGCACGCCACATCATGACAACCGAAATACACTACCACCGGCCGATCCTCTACCGCCCATCTAAAACTCTCGCACACGGCCGTACTGCTGTTGACTGCAAACACCCCGCACACCGCAACACACACCTCCTTCAAGATTCTTGAGCCGCTGCGCCTGGTGGTTCTTGACGTCCGGAGGCAGGTTTCTGTCCAAGTCGCTGCCTCCCTTGCGCCCCATCCCCATCCTGCCACCACCCCCCCCCTTGGCGAAGGGATCCATCGCCTTCACCTTCTTGTACTTCCTCACCCGACCCATGGTTACGGAAGCTGGCTACAACAACGGAGTGGTCGGGCCAACGAAGGTGTGAGGTGTGCGGGAGGGAGAGGGAGCACGGGGGACACGGGACTGTGAAAAACACACCTGTGCAAAACAAGCCTTCGCGGTATCCATGAACTCCACTTGATTGAATTTGCGAATGTATTTTACATCGGTAGTGCCAACGCTGGGCGTGCCCGACTCCGCTCAACAAGCTTGCATTTTGAGTTATGGCCACAGGACGAAGACAGATTGAAATCTTTGTGAGGTTAGTAACAAAGGTTTGCGTCCGCCGCTGAATCTAGATATCCACGGAGAGTGAGTGCCCCATGCAAACATACAACCATCGGTGCCCCAGGCGATCAATTCTCTGCCGTCCTCGGCCCTCTCTCTCGGTCTCTCCTCACCAGAGACAGAGTCGCTCTTCGCTGCCCCTAGTTTGATAGTGCTGCTGAACTCACCACTCAGCGAGATTTGCCACCACGTCTAGTTATTGTCCCTGTTTCAGAACGCTGGTGTGTGTCGTGTCTGTCAGACGGAAAATATCGGTCCACGAATGAATGTTCGATGTCGAGGGTAGCAGCATCTTGTATCCATGTAGCCGCAGTGACAGCTGCACGTGCGGGGCACTTGGAGCTGTACAGCTTCTTGCTCTCGCCCGCTCTCTCTCTCTCTCCCTATATTTCTCCCTCTCTACCTGCTCTTTGTCCACCTGATCTCTCTCTGTCTGCCTGTTTCTCTCTCACACACCCTTTTCTCCCTCTCTCTCCCTCTCTCTACGCCGCGATGTGCCCTCGCCCCCTTGCCACCCGGAATCCAAACGTGCCGAAAACCCTCAAGGAACGCCCAAGACGAGTACATTACGACGGTGACGCTGCACTCTAGTGGGGGAGACGGGCACTCGTCCTCATCGTCATCTTCTCCTGCCGCCTCGGATGCACTGTGAGCACGCCCCCCTGCAGACAGTTAGGCAGAGAAAACAGACGGTGGCGTGCAAAATGTTGCCTCTCCCTCCCACACGCGGTGTGACAAACAGGTTTTGGTTCCCGAACCTTGACATGTTGTCTTCTTCAGAGGCGTTTTCGCTCTTTTTTTTTGTCTTGTTGCTCTACTTGTCGATACTGCTGCATGATAAGCACATGGCGGTACCTTGTTGTCGATGGACGGCCAGGGAGAAAATCGACAATGCCCTTATGACGCGAGCATGATTCTCAGCGATGGAGCTTCTGGGCAAACCGACGGCACCACACCATTTTTCGCTCGCATGCCCCTCCCCGCTTTCAAACATACCGTGCGCCCTACCTTCCCTCGCCAATGAAGGCCGTTGCGATGCGTGGTGGAGGACTACACCCGGGATGCCTCGGTGATGGGAACGAGGGCAGGCGGAGCGGTGACGCTGGTCGCGGTGCGGAATGCGGACAAACTCAAGTGAGCACAGTCATGTAGGCACGCAGAACAATGCAGATGTGCATGCTGAGATAGCTCGAGGCAACTACCCAAAGAGGCGGAGAGATGGCACCCCCCCCAGACCGACTTTCAAAGCCCGGTTGCTCCACACAATCAAGATTTATGCCAATACCAACAGTGGTGGCTTTGGAAACATCTCGTCGAGCGGCTTCCGCAAACGTATGGGCTCTTTCCGCATCCACCTGGTTGTGTGGAAGCGAGCAATCGGCAATCGTCGGTAAAGGAAACAGATCATATCGTGCGTCACCGCATTTTGTGCGACAATGAGCAACATTTTCGCGAGTCAATTGTGTGCTTTGGCTGGAGGGCTCGGGCAGGTTCTCAGAATGATGTATTTATTTGCTGCTGTTCGTTTGTTCGCTCCTGCTTGCGTCGTCCGTCGAGAGTCCCAAGCCAATTTTTCGGTGATTTGTCGATCGATCTAGATTGGAGGTTGGTTCGCGTCTGCCGTGTTGGGAACGGTGCGTGTGGGTACGCTGTGCCCCTCCCTCCCTGCCGAATTCACCACAGATCCCATCCCGCCCATGTTTCGCTCCAGCTGCTGTGCAACATGCAGCAAACGCTACGACGTTCTATATTTATTGTGTGCACAGTACACTGCTACTTGGGGGAGTATTTAACCACAGCGCTACGAAACTACGTAGCAGGAGGGCCGCTGCTGTGAACCCTGTGCCTCCCCCGGTAACCTTTTCCTCCAACCGCTTGTTGCTGCCGGCGCTGCTGCTACTGCTGCTGCAGGTCCTTTCGATCGTATCTGGCAGGGCGAAAGAAGGCGGGCGTCGTCAAGCTGCCGGGGGGTGGGCGCCTCGTGCTGCTCCCGACAGCAGCAGACCCCCGCGATGTTTCGGGTGAGAGCATCGTCGGGTTGATACAACAACAACAACGTGGCGGTGCAGCCGTCCTAGCCAGGTCTCCTGTTGCCGCGGTGAGCTATTTGACCGTCCTACGCAGGCGTGGTAGGGTGCTGAGCAACAATGATAATTGAACGGGAGGTTGAATAGAACGCGTGGAACACGTTGTGGGTGTTTGTTTTTTTCTGTGGTCAAGGTGGCCGGAAGGCTGAGAGCTTTCAACTTTCGCCCACGCAAGTTTTTTTTTTTTTATGTTGTTGCTTGCGGGTATCGCATGCATTCGTCGTGACATTTCAGGCAGCTATGTTGGTACTAAAATTATCTCCCATGGACTCGACAACGGCAAGTCACCCACTCGGGCTTTCAGCCCCGACTCGCTGCTGTCGTAGCCTCCGTGTTGTCTGTCTCGGATAGGTCGCATTTGTTTCATCGCCAACTCTTGAGTGCCATGCTTGCGCCTCCCATCCCACACACCTCCCTCTTCCTTATGAAAGTACTTGCACAGACCCTCCATTGTTGTATGATAGGATCTTTGGCATCGATCCCCCATGTGCCTGTTGCTGTGTTCATTGCCATGGCTCTGCTTGTTGTCGTGTGCCTCCGGACACAGGCACCCCCGCTGGCGCCGCCGCAGCAACCTTGTTCTTTGGCATACAGCAATAGCTCGAATACGCCAGCGCCCTCGCCGCCACCGCCTGCATCGAGTAGTAGAAACAACATTAGTAATAGTGGGGGTGGCGGTGCTAGTGGTGGCGGCGGCAGCGGCGGCAGCGGCGGCGGCGAAGAAAAGGAGCCGGCAGCATCGCTCGGAGGGTTCCTGGGGTCACTGATGGGCAGCATGGACCAGACTCACAAAAGCGTGGCCGGCACGGCAGCGGGTGAGCGTGAGCGGCACAGTAGTATTGTTTGGTGTTGACAGTTCTTCAGCTCTTCAGTCGAGAAATCTCCGGCCGTTCACGTTTGTGTGTGTCGCACTTTTGGGGTCGAACAAATCCCCGTCACGTCACGATAGCCCTTTAAGGTCTCGTCCCCCCAAAATATGGCGCAGGTGACCACTATTCCTTGCTTCTCCCGGCCCCAAGAAACAAAGCAAGCAACAACGACCCTCACCTGCTCCATGTAACCCCCCTCCTCCTCCCGCACAAACTCTCGCCGAAATGAAACAAGTGGACAGAGCGAACCGGGCGCAAGATCAGGCAATCAAGCAGCGCGTTTCAAACTTCGAAGCGGAAGTGCGAGAGAAAATAGCGGTGTTTTCGACGAACCCCGAAGCCATCTCTCACACGTTCCCCCACGTCGAGAAGAGCCTTCGATCAATCCAGTGAGTCAGTGGATATATATTTTGAATCCCATCATTGTTTTCACCTCGCGAATACTGGTGTTGGTGATGGTGTTGTTGTTGGTGCGGTACAGTCTGTCAAGTTACGATCGATAAAAACTTGCCTCTACGACTTTTGTCCGATTTATTTGACTATCCCTTTCTACCTAGATACTGGTGCAGGACGTTCATTATGTAGTGAACAATGGGCTCCCAGAATCTCGGCAAAATATCGTTGTGACTTCTGTCGGAGATGTCTGATGCCGTGGCCAATGAGTGCTAAGACTGGTCCTCTTTTCTCCTCGACCACCCCCCATGTCGGAGGACGCCGTGAAATACTGTAGCTCTTGGCCTTCTTTGCCGTTCTGCAGTGACATGGCCACTACCGTTTCATTGGCCAATCGGTTCGTGAGATCGACGCGGAATGACAAAGGAAATGAGCGCATGCATTTGTACCATTAGCATTTCTCGCAACGACAACTGTCACTTCAAAGCACAGGCCTCAACGCACGAAACTCACTGCTTGGTTCATTTTTTCGCTTCCATGACCTTTCACTTTCACTTGGATTAGGCACAGTCTTGCCGAAGACTTTGATGGCATCACCACGAGAACGGAGGGAGAGTTGGACGACAGACGTGTGGTGTTGTACAAGCTGGGTTACGAGCCGCCAGAGGAGGAGGTCCAGGTGGACACGCAGGTAAGAACGGACCATCACGGGCTTGTGAGTATGAAATCCTTTATTGGTGTTATTGCTGTTGCCGTGTTGTTGTTTTTGCTGTTTTTGTTGTTGTTGTTGCTTTGTTGATATGGCATCTGCTGCTGCATCTGCTGCTGCTGCTGTTGCCGCTGCCGCTGCTGCTGTTGCTTCTGCCACAGTGCCGTTGCTGTTCCTGTTATGTTTGTTCTCGATGATGTCGTCGTTGATATTGCGTTGGGCTTCTTCAGTTTTGTCGAACCTTCCTCGAGTTTGTGAATGAACAACGAACATACGGCATTTTTTTTTTTGTATAGAACCTCAACCCCGTCAAGGGGCGGGGATGAAAAGAACCAACACACTCCCTGACATATCCCATGGTGAAAACGCCAACAGCTTTCGAACGTTGTCGATGTCTCTGTAGGAAAATAGCAGAACAAGGAGAGAGCGACATGTCTCGAACGGAGCCATGACTAAGCGGTAAATCGGCTGGAGAACATTCATACCCCCCTCCGTCCAACCGCGCATGACAAACCAGGTCCACCTTGGTCTGGCGAGAAATACCTTGTCGTCGGCCTCCTCGGCGAGCGCAGCACCCATGCCCGCGCTCGGCGGTAGCGCCGGCGGCGGGACCAGCGCGGGCGGAGGCGGCGACGTCGGCAGTGCGGACTTGGTGCGGATCGGGACGGTCGTGAAGGACCGGCGGACGGTGCAGGACATCGAGGAAGAATCGAGAAAACGGCGCCGTCGCTGTTGAATGATTTTTGTTTTTGCACCATCCATTTTTTTGATGCGGGGTTGGCATCGTACCTCGCGGTTGAATCAAATCAATGTGCAATCGGTGCTGTTTTTCGTCGGGGTTCGAAAATTGGTATGTGTAGATTGGTGCAGTGTTTCTTGATGGGGGTACCGCTAGGTGCTTTTGGCGCGGCTAGAGAGAATGTTTCGGAACGATTTTACCGTCTGCGGGGTATCATTGAGTGGGAGAAACGGTAGAAAATGTGGTGGCCACAGCGTCTAGTAAAGGTCACGAACACGAACTTGAGATTGTCACCTGTGTCATGTTGAGGAGGGGGGGTAGAGGTGGGACTGCGGGCGTGTTTTTTTTTCTTGTGGCTGCCCTAGGGATTGGGATCGGTGCACTAATATTGAAGATGCGCTACACGGTGGATAGACACGAGTTCCGAGCTGGGGCAACAGGTTGGCTGGTTCCCCCTCCCCCGAACGGCTGTAAGACTGGACTGGCTGAGAGCCACGACGTTCGTAGGTTCCGTAGCTTCTTCCGAGAAGAAGGTTATAGAGCGTTTTACTACATTTTTGAGGGGACCCGTCAAGAAGACGTGGCCGAATCCAGGCGGCACACTCACATCCAAACAACCAAAGGGGGGACTTGTCTTCCCTGGTCTCTGCCAGTTGGCCTGCGCGCTGCGGAGGAAATTTACTGTACTATGCAATGAAAATGTTTCGGTTTGCCCGTGCTGAGGAGACCGAATAAACAGAAGGCTTCGCCAACGGGTGCAACATGCTACACAAGGCCACGATCAACCCCCGTTTCTGTTGTTCCTGTTCCTGCAGCAGTGTTGCCCCAGCCGGCAGGAAGGTAGGAAGGGTCCGAGAATGTCAGGGGATTGCGGGCTGGGTTATTCTGTTCTTGGCCTTGATTGTGGTATCTCAGGTGGATGGTACGGCGGAAGATTTTCCCGAACGCCTGCATCCCGTAAGGATACGCAATTCATTTCGTCAGACGGACGGGATTCTTGCCACCCCCCGACCATACTCCACTTTCAAGGCCAGGCTTTTTTGTTAGCAGCGCGCGCGTGAGAAGGTGAAGGAAGAAACACAGGGGCAGCGTGTAGCCTTGCCCCGAAACAGTTTCATTCGACTCACGCTTGAGAAAGCTACTCAAAGCATATTCTTACAGAGGCGGGCCCCTCTGGTGCTTGGTAGCATCGAAGTTTTAAGTGGGTAAACTGGCGTTGTTGCTGGTGGGCTTTGTGCTCGCGTGGCAGAAGTGATGGGAACGTAACTGACGTTTTCGGGACGTTTTCCTTGAATGCTTGTTGCGACAAACTCAGATACAGGTCCTTCTTACACTGCAGACCAAGGGCCAACACAACAGCACCGCGAATCTCTGGCCGAGCAACAGCTGAGTACCTCTTCTAGACTACACCCAATGCGCACAAGCAAAAGCAACACACTTGACCCTTGTGTTTTCGCACGAAATGCAACATCAAACAGAAATCATGGTAAGCGCCGACGCAGACACGTTCCACCACAAGCCTTGAGTGCGAACTCAATGCCAGACTCAAACCTGGAACAATGTCTCCCCTCTCGCTGCAGGCTTGTCAGCTCGAGAATCGTGGAATGAACAAAGACTACTAATGTTACCCGACCCCGAAACAAGTACAGTGGCACGGAAACAGACCTATCTGGAATAGTCGCCAAACCCCCAAAACATCTGGCAGCACAGTTGGTTTCGATTTCCCATGGGATGGAGCACCGATAACAAGAGGGTAAAGGTACAGGTCTCCGTTTCATACCCGTCGAATGCTGACACACGAAAAAGAAAAAAGCGGAAAACTGTTTCAGCGCCTTCACCGCTGCTGCTGCTGCTGCTGCTGCTGCACTAAGACGTTGCTGTTTTCCCGTCGGAAATGAAATGCAACATGTGGAGAACCAGCAACAGCCGAATGATCCGTCTCCGCGTTCAACCCTCGAGTGCCAAAGTTGCTGGAAGAAGGCCAACAAGAAGCTGAATGTGCTCAAATATTTTCCGTCCAGCACACTCATCTGCTGCAAATGCCCAACAACCCTTCTTCTTCTCGAGAATTGCAAATTCGTGATCCTAAGTGCCGAACCTAAGGGAGAACAAGAACAGGGAAACCAAATACATCGATTGGGAGGCTGCCCCAGAAAACAAAATATCTGCACACAGCACACGCACAACCGATACGGGTAACGGACGTCACGCTACGCACACAGCAGTCGTACACGATCTTGTTATTTTGCATGAGTGCAACTTCCAAGCGGTGTTGTGGAGAAGATCTCACAACACATCTGCCGAGCGCTAAATCACTTGAAAACGAAAGGAGAACATGTACAAACGACTACCGCGCTAGGTGCCCGCGGAAAAGGCCTGCCCCCCCTTCCCTCCCCCAGATATGTCGTTCGATCCGTTGGCGGCACTGTCGTCTCCCTCTCCTTCTCCCTCGCCCACTCCCTCCCTCTTCTTCGACTTGCTCCCGCGTTTTCCCCTCCTGGTCTTCTGGCGCGGCCCTGAGCGTTGGTTGTCCCCCTGTTCCTGTGCGCTCGCCTGTGCGCTCGCCAACTTATCCAGCCAATCCGTGTACAGGGGGGCCACGAGCGGCTCCGTTCCCCACACCCTGGTGGACTCCACGACGCTCTCGTGGACCCGGTAAAAGATCCCGTGCATCTCGTCCGCCTCGTAAGCCGCGTTCTCGACGATAAGGAGGCGAGATCCGAGATAATCGATGTCGCTCTTGACGTTGTTGAGCTTGGCCGTGTGGTCCACGGACGACGGCGACACCATCGCGGCACCCGCCCCGTCGCCGCAGGGCGCCGCCGCCGGCCTGCCCTCCGCGAAGCACTCCTGCATCTCTCGCTGTACCTTCGCCACCCGCTCGTTCATCTTCTCCTGCTTCTCTGCGATGGAGCGGGTGAGCTCAGCTACCGCCGCCTTCTCCTTGGCTGCAGCGCCGTCGGTTGCCTCCCCCGCAACGGTGTTGTCGGTAGCTTGCTCCTTCAGGCGGAGGACGTCGTCACAGACGGCGGCGACGGTTGCCGCGCACTTCTCCTCGCGAATGGCCATGGTGCCCTCCTGCGAAGCGACGGCGGCGGCGAGCGCACGCCCGAGCCTACTCTCCATACCGTCGAGCTTCCTCTTCCACCACGCCTCCCGGTGCCGCTCCATCGCCTGCGCCGTCCCCATCTTTTCCTCGAGGGCCTGGGTGATCTGGCTCTGGAAAGCGAGCCCCATCTTTGCCTCCGAGGCAGCGATGCCGGCGGCGACGACATCATCGATGGCGGCGGTAAGCAATCCCATGAAACGGTCCACGTCATCGTTCTCAACTCCCGCGCCCCCGCCGTCGAAGAGGCCGTCGAAAGCCAGTCGCACCTTCTCGAACCTGCGGTCGCCATCCGCGCCCTGGGAGTTGGCACGGTTCCCCGGGCGCGTCGGGTGAGCGCCGCCTACGGACCTTGGGCTGGTGCCGTCAACGCCTGGATCATGGTCACGCCCACACCGCCTCTTGCTCTCCTTGTCGAACAGGCGGTCGACCCCCCCGTCCAAGACAGCTTCGGCAAGGAGAATCAGACGCCGGCTTAGGGTGAACAACAGCCAGAAGCAGCCTAGCGCCGCACACGGCGCGACCACCGAGCAGATGCCGGACCAGCTCGCCATCTCGGGAAACCGCGAGCTCTCCGGCTGGAGAAGAGTCGCTCCGTGACTCTCGGGTCAGAAATTCACTGTCTCTTTATCTTGGGGAGAAATGAGGGTCAGGTGGGGAGGAGGGGGAGGGGTCGAAGCAGGTCCTGCATGTGGAACAGGCGACACGCGTAATAACGCAACAATGCACGATATACAACATATCTCGGTAAGATTGAGAGGTTCGGATTCTTTCGAGAAGACTACTTCAAAGTAAGAAAATAGGGGTAAGAAACACAGCTCAGCAGTGGATCCTATGCAGACTAAATCCGATAGAACAACCTGTGCTCGACTGTGGAAATGAATGAAGAAACTGAGCCTCAACTCGATATTCATGGTTCTTATCTCCGGGCCCGTGCTGTACATTAAGTACATAATCGCCATCGAATATGTCAATGTCGACTGATGGGTGCTCGATAAAACAGACGGCGAACTCACGAGCGATTGTACGTAACAGCAGTGCAAGTCAATCCTGTATTTGGCGTTTTGTGCGTGCGTGCTCAGTTTAACTGTAGAACACACTGTGCCATGCTCCAACCTAGAGTTATGACGACAAATTGGCAGCAGTGCTGAGAAAGGCGTCACGCAATAGCTGCGAGCGGAACAGCGCACACAATGTCAAGAACGAGCCTAATGATATAGTACACTACACTGCTGTACATGGCAGGCAATACATTTGCTCCAGATCAAACAGCGGACGCGTTTCGTGGGAGATGTTCATGCTCTTTCAACCAGCTCTTTCAACCAGCGGCCTTGCGTGAGAGCGGAGTACATTCGAGGTACGGGAAGAACAGCAGGTTTATGGGAGCTTCGTCGTGCACACCTACAACCAAACCAACACCTGGGATCGCTCCCGTCGCTCGTTTCGGGTACCCTTCCCTCTTTCGTTCCCTCACAAAAGCACACCTCTGCTACAAAACACACCTACACACGCACCTGATCCTCTTGCCCCGTTCCCTCTGCTTGGCTCTTTCCCCTCTCCCGCTCAAGATCTTGCGTCTTGTCTTCTCGTGCCCAACAGGAGCGATCGGCGGAGGTTCTCCGAAGAGAGCCGGCAGGTAAGCTTCGATCCTGGTGTGCCCTCGCAAGAACGCCCACTCTCTCTCTGCTCAAAGTGATGGGCCAAAAAGGCGGGGAGACGGGGGTGACATGGGGGGCGCCCTCTCCAGGATCCGCCCCGGTTCTATCTTAACGCTTCCAAGGGGTTTCAAAACCGTTACACAAAGCCGGTGGCGTAAAAAGGTATCACCACGAGCAGCTTCGACGAGAAGAATACGTTCCCACGTGACCATCATCTCCGATCAACAACCGACAGGAGAGGTCCGAACTGATTTGCTGGCGACATTCTATTCATTCTCAACCTTCCCTTCCGCGATACATCTCGTTGAAGAAGTTCCCTGAGCTCGTTCCATCGCTTCCACCAGCACGGACGCTACGGCGTGGCTACGGCGGTCGATCGGCAGTCGGATGTGGTGGTCGTCTCGCATGTAGGGGCCCTACAGAAGCTATCGATTTCCGCTTCACCCCCCATTCAAACCATCTTGCGGGCCCGAATTATATCTCCGGAGATGTTCGTCAAACATGCTGAATGCTGCTGCTCTGCTGGCATCGACCCATCCATGTCTCTCGATATCCCTGCTTCGTGACTATAGGCGCTGAGGGGACGGAGACATGGGCCAGCTCCAGACACTGGTGTGAGGAAAAGTCCCCTTCTCGTTGTTCATGCATGTGAAAATCAAATCGAACTCTTTGTCTCCTGTTGGGATCGTCACAACCTCTTGTACGTAAATACATGTACACCTAACCATCTACGCATACAATACGTTCCGGGAGACAGGGTGTTCTTCGGAACGGTGCATTGCATTCAGGATTTCCGGCAAGACACGCAGAAACGATTCTTTCAGGAGAAGTATGTTCTTGTGTGAGGAAATGTATGCATGTGAATCATGTATCAGACCTTCCGCTAGTCGCCGTTTGGTTGTGAGTTTTCAGGATATAGCCTACAGCAGTGCTCGTGTTCATCTGCGCACCGCCTTTCGAAAGAATATCTACGCAAGCTTGCCCGTGTAGAAGCAACAGCAATGGTGATGCCTATGCACGGCCAACAATAAAAACATCCACCAATGATGTATCTCTGTCTCCGGCATTTGACCGACGTCGCGGCGTGTGCCTGCCCGCCGTGGAGGCAATTTGCTGAAAACATGGCAACAAGTTGTGGCCTCAACCGGAGTCCAGGACGGCGGTCGTGGAGAACCACAAGGTTCATGTCTCGGTGGGACCAGAGGCTGGCGCTGGAGGCCTAATCCAAATCCAATCTGAAGTTCTGTAGCATATACAATAATCTTGGGCCGAGAGCGATCAATCATCAAACAGATTTGTAGTCCCTACGTTTAGACTACTCCGGAGCATAGTGCAAGAGGAGGCAGGATACAGCAGTATCAAGATCAAGTGAAGTTCCCGACGTCGGGGACGATACTACGGGCCCGTGGTAGCTGAGCACTCCAATAATGACATGGGTCCGTGGGTAACACAACGCACCGCGGACTTCGAAATATGGGTGATGATATCTTGGGGGTTGCCGTTGATCAGCTTCCCCAACACACACCGGAAAGCTTCCCAGCGTTTTTTTGTCCACAGTTCCAAGACTGGCGTCTGGGCATTGGTCAGTCGAAAAAAATGTAAATGCGAAGCCTGGTTCACAAAGATTCGCAAAGGTCCACACAAAACACACATACATCCCCAAACTCTCCCTTGAGTTATTGCGATATTGTCGCTGCCACCACAGCCGCTATTCCGTAAAATGGTTGTTTCCACGTGTCGTCAGTGGCGCATGTATTCCTACAGAGCTTGCACTGACAACATTGATGCAGCCCAAACACTGCTGACGTGTAACATACCATGCCCTTGAATAATATTGTGCCGAAGTCCCAGGGAGGAATCCATGATTCTCGAGTTGGTCGAGCCGCGGTACACTGACGGTTGGAAAGCATTTATCCCCCACCCACAAGCTACCGCATCATGTCTGTGTTTCACTAGTCTCACGAGAATCTACTCCTGTTTGGCGAGTACACCCATATATATATTGGTGAATTGATTAGGGAAACTGCTGTAGTCGTACCTTAGCTAGACAAACATTTGAGGAGAGGGACATGACTCCTAACAGAGGAAGAAATATCGCACGGCGTGGCGCTTTTCGCATTCGGATTCGACGTCTCGACGGCTTTGGGCACACCCTCGACTATCGGCCAATGAGTTCCGTTATGGGTATCCCATCCTCGTAGCCCTTTCCCCGGCACCGATAAAATCGTTGCGAGAGAGGACAGGAAGAGGTACTGGAAATCAAGCGGTGGCAGAGGTGGGGCGGGGCGGAAGACAACAGGTCGGCGGCTTGATAGACGCCAGAGTCACCGGGCAACGGGGGCGCCACGAACTCCAACAAAGCCTTCCGAGAGAGGTGCGAGTCAACTTGTTCCCGTGGTGTTTCTACTATCAAAGTTCACATGATCATTCCACAATTTAGTTGGGACAGAAGCCCATGTTTGTGTGTTTGGATATGGACTGGGTAGATCTACCGGCAACAACAGAGGACACGCAGATGGGGCATATGTACACCTTGAAATGGTTGCATGTGCGGGGACCCCTCGAACTCCAAAGAGGGCTTCACTTCTTCCTACTCCCCTTGCGTGTCTAATAGAAGAGATAAAACGTCTTCCCCTTCCAAGTAAAGGACATAAACGAACACACTAGTGTCAGTCCCTCGAGGGAGAGTCCATTAGGAATGTCAGGTCGCAAAGATGGGGGTGACTCCTCCAGCGACTCTGCGGCGGAAGACAGAAAGGGGTCAAGAGAAGAGCTCGTGGCCCTGAGGACGCAAGTTAGCTTGCTGACGGATCAGATGAGCCAGCTAATGTCGCTAGTGGAAGATATCATGAAGGCAAGCAAGAAGGAGGAGCCAGCTGGCACCATGGAGGGTGCCGCTGATCGCGGCGATGCTAGGGAGAGCGCCGCCGCGGAGTCCACGAACGCCGAAGGAGGGGCACCGTGGACCGGGAGTGCGCAGGACGGGAGGTACCTGCGCGAACCTGTTCGAGAGTCTGGCCCGTCAGGGCGACACAGCGGCGAAGCAGGGGGTTTTGTCCCCCAAGAGGTGAGAGTAACCGCTGCTCACAACCAAGATTATAGTAGTGCCATGGGAGATGGTGGTGCTGCTGTTGGCTTTGGAAACGGAGCCACAACCCCAGCGACGGGGTACCAAAGTGTGCGGTACACTTCTCCTCCGTTCAGCGGGAAACCGAAAGATTTCAACGAATGGCTTAATGATTTCCTCATGGCAGCTACTGGCGCAAACGTGTTGGAACAATTTGGAGAGAGACCGAGCTTGGAGATCCCCGTCAACAGCGGAAAGAGCAAGTTTTCGCTGTCANGGAGCGAGCGCCTTCCACGCGTGGAGCTTCCTGTCCTACGCGTTGAAAGAAAAAGTTCGGAAAATCATGAAGAGGGCAGAGACGCCCCAGGGAGCTCTTCGTGAGCTCAAGACCATACACGACCCTGAATCATCTGTACAGCCGTCAGAGGACCTCAAGTCCCTGACGTCGACCAAGATCTCTAGAGGTGAAAACCCCCAAAACGCCCTAAATGAGATGCTCCAAACCGCAAAGTCCTTAACAGAGAAAGGACTAACTGTCAACGAAACGTTCGTCCTTCACTTCTTCCTGGATGCCCTTTCGGACGGTATGCCGTGACAAAGCACAACCTGCGACACGCGAATGAATCGACGCGGACCGGTGTGCTAAAGGAAGTAATGATCGAATACAAGGCGATCAAGGACAAGCTGGAGCAGGGGAAAAGAAAGGGGCGAAGGGCGCAGAGCAAGCGTACTTCGCCGACGGTGAGGGCCGCAGGGAGCTGTACTCAAGTAGAAGTCAGGGGCAAGGTCATGGTCGTGGCGGCGGCCGTGGCCGCAGCAGCAGTCGTGGCCGCGGCGGCGGCGGTCGCGGCGGCCGCTCAGGCGGATCCGGAGGAGTCGAGGAGAGCAAGGGAAGCAGCAGTGGAGGCGCCGATGGCGGCGGTGGCGGGGACTATAAGTTCCCGGGCCGGTGCTTTAGGTGTGGACATCGTGGACATCAAACGATCGGCTGCACTAACAACGAGAAGGACTTCGTGCCGTGGTGTGCGCGCTGCAAGGGGTGGGGCCACACCAAAGAAAAGTGCGCGACGGAGGAGGCCGTCCTAGCGCAAGTGGTGGAGCATGAGAGCGACGTGGACTCCGTGGAAGACCACGCGTTTTGTGCCGTGGCAGTCCCCCCAGGCAATTGTGGTACCGTTGGTGAAGTAGGTCTAGTGGGTGTTATGGAACAAGGCCAGGCGATGTACGTGGCCGACACAGTGGCCACGTGCTCCATGTTCCGATGTGCAGACAACTTCGTGAACTACCGTGTGCGTAGCGGTTGGGTGAAGGGGATTGGAGGCGACAAGGCCCCCGTTCCTATTCTAGGATACGGAGATGTGACCTTAGTCCTACAGACGGAAGATAGTGGNGGCTATCAAATAAAGCCAACGCTGCACACCGCCTGTGCCGCACTCATTGGTTCTGGCGATGCGAAAGCAGCCAACCCCACTGACCTCAACGAGTACCACCTCGCGCACGGCCATGCCCACGAGACATTGCTCAGGATCACGGCGGAGCAGCAGGGAGTGCAGCTGACGGATGGACCGCTGCTACCCTGTTTGGCTGTTCGATGTCCAAGGGACAGGTGAAACCCGTCCAGAAGAGCACGAGCACACGTGCAGTTAAGAAGTTATTTCGCGTGTATCTCTACTTGGGGGGAAACATGAAAACCAGGAGCAGTGGCAACTGGTACACGCTGATCATCAGAGACGATCTCTCCCGTTGGACGCGTGTTTTCTTCTTGAAACACAAGTCTGACGCAGCGGTTGGGATTGAGAAGTTCCTGGCGGACTACCGAACGAAAGGGGTTCCGTGTGAGGTTCATATCGTACGTACCGACGGTGGCGGCGAGTTCCAGGGGCAGTTTGCGTAAGCTTGCCGCAGACACGGCATCAAACAAGAGTTCACCCCCCCTCATACCCCAAAATACAACGGTGTAGCGGAGAGAGCGCTAGGGTTGATCACTGATGCCGCGCTTGCGTCACGCATCCAAGCGATGCAACTGTTCCCCGACGCACCGAACCACCCCGGCTTGTGGGCCGAGGCCATTTCGTGTGCATGCCATCAGCTGAACTGCACCGCCACTAAATCAAACGAGGGAGACAAATCCGCCTACGAGATGTTCCACGACCTCCCACCGCCTGTCGGGTCTACATACCCGTTTCTCAAACCAGCCGTGTTCAAGTCGAGAAGAAAGGCAAAGTCGCAACCCAAGGGCGAAAAAGGATGGCACCTTGGTCCTGCCCACAATCACCCCCGTGACTGCGTTCGCATGCTAACCGAAGCTGGAACCGTAATCACGACCCGCAATTTCACCTGGCGCCACGTGCCCGCTGCATCGCCCGCTCCCCCGCAGCTGCTACCTCTCGCAGATGACGAGGAGGGCGGGGAGGGCGAGAGCAGAGCGGATGCATCACGCCAAGGTTGGGGGGGGGAGAGAGACTCAGAGAGTGAGTCCGACCTCGACGTGATGGAGGCTCGTGGGCCAGGGCAAGCGACGCCGTTTGTGCGCGAGGAGGCGCCGACGGCACCCGGCAACGGGATTCCGGGGGACGGAGGCAGCGTTCCCCCGTCGCCCCCTTCGGGAAGGGGCGACTTCGGCGGAGGCAGTGACAGCCCCACCGACAGCAGTAGTAGCAGCAGCAGCAGCAGCAGCAGCCCGAGCAGCAGCAGCAGTGACGCCGGCGGTGCCGGCGGCCCGGGCGGCGATGAGTCCGGCGACCCAGGTGGGGACGGCGGTAGCGATGGTGATCCCGGCGACTCCGAGAACCTCGAGGAGTTGAAGTATGATCCAGCCGACGACCGCTACCCCCGCGGGCTAGAAGGGAAGAAACTCCTCGGGGCGCCTCGAACGCTGGCCCGCTGCGCCATGGGCTTGAGAGTGGCCGCACGCGGAAGCAGACCCGGGAGATGCCGGGGCCCGGAGAAACACCGGACCCGGAAGAGGCATTGCTGGCGACCATCCTGAAAACTGGCGGGACGGGGATTGTTGAGGACTTCATCTGCAACTCGCTTGTGAAGGAGCAGTGGGACGAGGAGCAGACACGCCGTATGGAGGAGATGTACAGGCGCGAGATGCAGGAGGTGTTGGGCCCGGAACAGCAGGCGTTCGGGGCCGAGGTCGACGCCAGCGGGTCTTCGCAACCACTCCCAGACCCACAGTTAAGTACGACTTCGCCAATCGGACAGAAGCCGAGTGATGTGGAAGCAGTACCGATGACGTACAAGGATGTGACGCGTTCCAAGTACAAGGTTTTCTGGGAGGCGACCATGAAGAAAGATATAGATGGCCACGACAAGACTGGAACCTTTACCAACGTCAAGGAGCTGCCCGACGGGCGGAAGGCCATCGGTTCAAAGTGGGTGTTCTCTTGGAGGACAAATGAGAAGGGCCTGATAGTCGACTTCAAGGTCCGTATGGTTCCGCGGGGTTTCCCTCAAATCCCCGGCATCGACTTCCACCACTCATATTCAGTATGCCCGTCTGCAGCGTCTATCAAGGCAGTGATTGCCGTAGCCACTGAAAAGGGCAAGAAACTCGCTCACTGGGATGTGAAGCAAGCGTACATCCACGCTAAGCTAAAAGAAGAAATATACCTCAGGTTCCCGGAAGGCTGTGGTAGCATGT